TCTAATTTTTTATTTTATTTATTTGGGTCTTTTCTCTTTTTTTCTTGATGAGCCTGGTTAAAGGTTTGTCAATCTTGTTTAGCTTTTCAAAGAACCACCTTGGATTCATTGATCTTTTGTATCATTTTTTAAGATTCTATTTCATTTATTTTTGCTCTGATCTTAATTATTTCCTTCCTTCTGCTCACTTTGGGCTTTGTTTGTTATTCTTTTTCAAGTTCCTATAAGTGTAAATTTTGATAGTTTGAGCCTTTTCTTGTTTTTTGATATAGGTGTGTAATACTATGAATTTCCCAGTGTCCCACAGATTTTGGATTGTTTTGTCCTCATTTGCATGTGTTTCAAGGTATCTTTTGATTTCTTCCTTGATCTTGTTATTGACCCATTAATTGTTAAATAATGTTATTTAGCTTCCATGTCTTTGAGTATTCTTCAGTGTTCTTCTTGTGATTGATTTCTAGTTTTATTGCATTGTGGTCAGAAAAGATGCTTGATATGATTTCAGTCTTCTTAAATTTATTGATACATGTTTTGTGTCCTAACATGTGGTCTATCCTAGAAAATGCTCCACGTGCACTTGAAAGGCATGTATATTTTGCTGCTTTGGGATGAAATGTTCTGAAGATACCAATTAAACCCATTTGATCTAGTGTGTCCTTTAAGACCATCATCTCCTTGTTGATTTTCTGCCAGAAATATCTATCTGTTGAAGTCAATAAGATGTTAAAATCCCTGACTATGACTGTATTTCTGTCAGTCTCCCTTTGTGTCCATCAAGATTGGCTTCACATATTTAGGTGCTCCTATGTGGTGTGCGTAAATGTTTACTAGGGTTATACCCTCTTGTTGGATTGTTCTCTTTACCATTATGTAGTGTCCTTTGTCTCTTACTGTAGTCTTGGTTTTACAGTCTTTTGTCAGATATAAATACTGCAACCCCAGATTTTTTCCTTTCCATTTGCATGAAGTATCTTTTTCCATCCCTTTACTTTTAGTCTGTATATATCTTTTGATCTGAGATGGGTCTCTTGGAGGCAATATTTATATGGGTCTTGTTTTCTTATCCATTCAGCTACCCTATGTCTCTTGGTTAGAGCATTTAAGTCATTTATATTTAAGGTGATTATAGATAGATACATATTTAGTGTCATTTTATTCTTAGATTTTCTCTGTTTTTTCCTTTCTCTTTCTCTTTCTCTTTCTCTTTCTCTTTCTCTTTCTCTTTCTCTTTCTCTTTCTCTTTCTCTTTCTCTCTTTCTCCTTCTCCTTCTCCTTCCCCCTCCCCTTCCCCTTCCCCTTCTCCTTCTCCTTCATCATAAAGTAAGCCCTTTAACATTTGTTGCAGTACTAGTCTGGTGTTAACAAACTTCGTTAGCTTATTTTTGTCTGGGAAACTCCTTATTTCTCCTTCAATTTTAAATGGTAGCCTTTGCTGGGTAAAGGAGCTTCCATTGTTGGTCCTTGCCTTTCATCACCTTGGATATTTCACACCACTCCCTTTTGGCCTGAAATGTTTCTGTTGAGAAACCAGATGACAGTCTAATTGGTGCTCCCTTGTAGGCAACTACCTTTTCTCTTATGGCTTTTAAGATTCTCTCCTTGTCTTTAAGCCTTGTCATTTTAATTATGATGTGTCTCAGTATAGGCCTTTAGGCCCAACTTGTTTGGGACTCTCTGAGCTTCCTGGACTTGTATGTCTTTTTCCTTCACCAGATTAGGGAAGCTTTCAGTCTTTATTTCTTCAAATAGGTTCTCAATCCATTGCTTGCTCTCTTCTCCTTCTGGTGTTCTCACGATGCAGATGTTGTTATGCTTCATGTTGTCCAAAATGTTTCTTAAGCACTCCTGATTTTTTTTAATTCTTTTTTCTGTTTGCTCTTCTGCCTGGGTGTTTTTTTCTACCTTGCCTTTCAAACACTGATGCAGTCCTCTGCTTCATCTTACCTACTATTTATTCCTTCCAGTGTTTTATTTATTTCAGATATTGCATTCTTTATTTCTGACTGGTTCTTTTTTATGGTTTCTATATCTTTTTTCATGCTTTTGAATATTCTTATAATCATTGCGCTAAACTCTCATCTGATAAATTGCTTGCCTCCATTCCATCTAGTTCCCCTGGGGAATTCTCTGATTCTTTCATTTAGGGTCTGTTTCTTTGTTTTCCAATTTTGGCTGCCTCTTTTTATTTTATGCTTTAGTTGTTAAACTAATCAATGACATAGCCTCAAACTGTAATCAGCAGCCAGATTTAAACACCACAGGGTGGGGCAGAGTAATTCCTGCATGCAGGGTATTGCTTCCCCTCAGGCTCTTGTCATTTTAGTGGAGTGCTCTGCCTGAGAAAGATGGCTTCTGCAGTATGAGGAATGACTTAGCACAGGGATCCTGGCAGCTGTTCCTTCAGTTCTCTCCCCAGAGCTACCAACCCTAGACTCTTCTCAATCATCTCTAGCCTACTCTGCCCTTCTACTGGAGCACAGGGTAAGTGTCTGTAAATGAAATTTTGTGAATTGACCCTTTAAGAGGCTCTCTTCATCTCTAGCCATCTCCCCCTGGCAGACAGAAACCCTCTGCTTTTCATAGCTGGGTGTTCTCTTGGTTCCTTTCCAGCTCTGATACTGTAGGCTTGGGAGTAGAGCTTGGGGTTTAGACCCCACACTTCTCAAGGGGAACTCCCTAGCTGCTGACATATCCCTCTAGAACTTCAGCTGCCACCTGTGGGAGCCCAACCAGCCCTTTCATGCTTCCTCCACACTTCCTACCAGTCTCACTGTAGTGAAGTGGTTTCTTCTGTCTGTCTTTGGTTATTAGGCTTCTCTCCAGCTAGTGTTTACTTGGTTATTCAGGATGATTTTTCTATAATTTATTTGTAATTCCAGATTGGTCCTAGGAGGAGGTTAGTGTAGCTTCCACTTACCCCTCTACCAACTTAGAAGTGTCTCCTTTAACATTTTAAATGTATCATCCCATTGTCTTCTGGTGTTCATTAATTATGGTAAAAGTTCTGCTGTTAATTGCACTGTGTTCATCTGTATGTAAGGAATCATTTCAGTACCAAGATTTCCATTTGATCATTTTTTATAATTGCTATCTCTATATTTGACCAGTTAATAAATGTACACTTCCCTTTAATTTGCATTGTTTCCTTTAGTTTTCTGAGCATACTTATAATAATAGTTTTTTGGTTTTTATTTTTATTTGTAATTTATTTTCATCTTCAGAAGAAAGCTTCTTCGTTAATATTTCATTTTTATTCAGCTAAAAGAAAGGCTAGTTTCTACCAGTTGTGTTGCTCTGCAAAGAGCCATTTAATGAAATAAGAAATTTCCACAAACTAATGTCAGTTTTTAGTCCTTATCTATAAAGTCTAACATTTGAATCCCCCTAAGAGAGAGTTCCTAGTTATGCTTTTTTTCTTGTTTATGATCACACTTTACTATTTCTTTGTATGTTATAATTTTTTATTGTTGTTGAAAACTATATATTTTAGATATGTTGGAGCAACCCTAAATTCCAAATCCTCCATCCTAGAAGCTATTTTTGTTATGAGTTTTTGTTATTATTGTTTGTTTGTTTGTTTGTACTAATTCTGTAGAGTTTCTCTCTTAATTTTTTTTCCCGAATCACTTTTTATTTTGGCTAGCTTCCTAGGGGTTGCTCTGAGTCAACATAGCTCAATGGTGAGACAGTGATTGATCACAGGTGGTACTTACATTAAGCCAGTAAGGCTTCTACCCTTTGCCAGTGGATCTGTAGGTAAGTTGAGGAACACATTAAAATTTAGGCAGTTTATAAGTCTGACTGACTTTTACTGTCAGACATGTCTTCTTCATGAGTGTACTAGGTTTCACATTCATCTGGGAATGCATAGATAGCTAGTGCTTTCTCCAGTGTCTCCTGAGCATGCACACAGCCTTCCAGACTACAAGGTGTATATGTGAGCTTATCAAGGCCCACTGTGGCTGTCTTATTCCCCAAATCTCCCTGTTAAATTTCTTGCAAGTATGCTGGTCTATTTCTTGCCCCCAAAGTATCAAAACCTCAAGATAACCTATGTATCTTTTGTAGCATGTGCTTCATTCCATATCAAGTTAGCCCTGTCCAGCAGTGGAACTGCAGGTATTTAGGATTTTCCTTGCCCTTCAGAACTACTAAGTTAAGAAAAACTGGGAGAGGGGGGTTAACTGTTAATTATTTTACTCAGCTATTTTGTTATTATTAAACATTAAGTTTTTATATTTTTTTTTGGTAGAATGACCATATTTTTAATGCCTTCCTGTTTTACCACTTGTTGTAGGTTATTTTGCCTGTCATAACAAATTTCTATGAGGTTGGTGGTATAAAACAACAGAAATTCATTCTCTCACAGTTCAAGAGACCAGAAGTCTGAAATCAAAATCTTCCTCAGAGCCTGCTTCTAGAAGCTCTGAGGAAGAATCTGTTCCATGCCTTTCTCCTAGCCTCTGGTAGCTGCTAGCAATCCTTGGCCCAGCAGCATCCCTTTAATCTTTGCTTCCACCGACACATGACCTTCTTCCCTGTGTGTTTGTATACCTGAATGTCCCTCTCCTTTCTCTTATAAAGGTATTGGTTCTTGGATTTAAGGCACACCCTAATCCCATTCCCCTTCATCTTAATTAATTATGTCTTCTCAGACCCTATTTTCAAATAAGGTCACATTCTGAAGTTTCAGTTAGACATAAATTTTGGGGGACACTGTTCAACCCAGTATTTCACCCATTATAAAATATTACCTGAAAATCAATATGTTCTTTCTGTTTTGGGCTAGGTGATCTTTTGTGGAGATTGGTTTAAAAATGAATGGAATGAATGGTGTTGACTTTTTTTCTTGTGCTTGTTTCTCAAGTTAATCCAGCTCACACCCTCTTTTGGTTATTTTATTCACATTGTTAAAAAAAATGGTAGAGACTCTGGACAGGAAAGGGTTGGCAGAGCTTTACCCTTCTCAACTTTGATTTACATGTCTTCTTTTAATATAGAGCCAAATAACTATCGGACCATGCATGGCCGGGCAGTAAATGGCAGCCAGTTGGGAAAGGATTATATCCAGCTGAAGAGGCTATTGCAGCCCATCCGGATTTACTCCAGAGCCAGCTTATATGGCCCCAATATTGGGCGGCCCAGGAAGAATGTCATCACCCTCCTAGATGGGTAGGTCAGAATATTTAGCAGTTCTTATAACATTGTTCATTAAATGTAATGAATTAATGTATTTGTTTTTTCCCCCTGGTTATTTTGTTATTAAGAAGGACAGAGAGACTTTTTCCATGTCAATTTCCCCCACTCTAAATTGGGGATTCTCCATCAAAGAGTAGAATAACCTTTCATCTCTCCAGACCTTCCATAGTCAGCAGAAGGTGGTGGGTTTGGGGATGGACATCACAATTTCCAGGACAGTTTGAAAGGTATGCAATGTTTTAAAAAGCACATTTAATATTGCAGCATTTTATAGCACCATTATATGTATATAATGAAGTATATATATATAATATTACCTATTATATATATAATACATATATACATATATATAATATTATCTATTCTTGCATCCTTTTACAGAAAGTAAAGCTTAAAATATAGGCCAGTGGAACTGGTTGAAAAACACCACAAATACTTGCAGATTAAAGCAAAACTTAACCAACAGATTAGCAGGTATCCTGGAAAATTGCTGTCATGTGACTTAATTTTGACTGAATCTAATAATCATTTTAAAGCATTGGTTATAGATGAGGCTCTATGTTAAATGCTCTCTGCCCCAGTCTTGCTGTTAGGCCAGGCTTAGATCAAATAGTGGGCATAACCCATCTGTGCCAGTTTGCTCCAGTTATGCAAGGTCAGAGGAAATGGCAGAGGGTGTGGCACAAGGAAGACTGAAGGTGTATGCTGAGTTCAAGACTCAAAGTGAAGATGTAACTGGAGCTGGAAGGGTGGGAACAATGAAGTTGAGAGAGTCAGGACTTCATCTGAAATAGAGTATGCACCAAGGCACACTTTTTATGTGGTATCTTGTTATGCTCTTGGAGAGGTATAATTATTCCTGCTAATTCAAAGGTAAGTAATACATTTTCCAGTGAAGTGAACAACCCATGTTAGGTTACATAAATGCCATGTGATTACAAACAAATGGAGATATCTGAGGAGAGAGAAACCTTTGGCCAGCCTCCCAGATGGGCTTTGTGGCTTGAATGTTCTTGTGGCTCTCTCTGTTCCATTTTGTGGTGGCTAAGCCTTGATCTAAGCTAAATAACATGGCAGATATTACTAGGGTGTTGGAAGGCAGAAATATTTACATTTTAACTACATTAACAACCTGAAATTTAGTTTTACTCATTTTCCTCTTTGCAAAGAATCTCAAAGTCCTTAGTTTAACTCCTATCCCTTTCCCACCCTTCTGTTTTCTTTCAGGAGCAAATTCCCTTTTTTCTTGCAGAACAGTTTCATGACCATGGCCCCTGACTAAAAATACAACTCTGTGCCTCCCTTAGCATACTTTCACTGAAATTTGGAATGACTGTGTGTATGTGTGTGCTTGTGTCTATGTGTGGGGGTGGAGAAGTTGGTTTCATTTTACATGTTTTAGTTAGTGGATAAAAATCACATGCATAGAACTTTATCCTCAGTTCATAATAGATAATCAAGCAAAGCCAATGACTCTATCATTTACATCCATGTAGTTATGCTTTGGGATTTTATTTTCTCTTTCATGATTTGATTAAGGTATTCTGATGGGGCTGACAGTGTCCTCTCAGTAGCATGACCCTGTATCAATTAGTCATTCATTCTGGAAATGTTTCTAGAGTAACTGATATGTACCGAGTACTTTCTTGGCCTTCATGAAGTATATAATATGGCAGGAGAGACATAGACATTAATCAACTGATCTTAAAACTAACACAATACCAAATAAAGGTGCATGATACTATGAATGACCCTAAGGGCAGGGATTTGACTGAGTAGGAGATCATGGAAGGATTTCCTCCATGAAGTCACTTGTAAGAGGAAGAGACATATTTAAAGTATAATCTAAATGATAAGTAGGTGTTAACTAGACAAAGTGAAAGGTGAACAATATCAGTGTTCTTGGCAGAAAGAAAAACATGTGCAAAGACACTGAGGATGAAAAAGGTCTAGGTTGGCTAAAGAAAGGTATAGCTAGAGAAGTAATTAGGTGTCATATTATATAGGGACTTACAGGCATAGTGAAGGACTTAGAATTTCTTCTAAGTATAGTGGGAAATATAGTGAAAGCTGAGGAGAAAAATAATTTGATTTATTATACAAAAAATATGCTATGTCTACCCTATGGAAGATAGATTAGAGAGGAAGCAGTGAGTAGGCTGCTGTAGCAAAGAGAGAAAGAATGATGGGAGCCTGGACTAAGGTGGCAGCAATGGAATGTATTGTTGGAGACAGAATCCAGAAGTCTTGACACGTTGGGTAAATCTATGGTGATGTGACATAGGGATATGTAAGCAACTGGGTATGTGGTATTTCCATTTACAGAGATGGGAAGGCTAGAGGAGTAATTGGTCCGGGAAGAAAATCATCACTTTAGTTTTTGTATTATATTTATTATGTCTGAATCTAAATGAAGATGTCAAGTATATCATTGAATGAGTCAAGGGATCAAGATCTCAACTAGAGATATTAATTTTGAGGGTCATTAGCATACAAATAGGATTTAAGGCTACAGGAATAGTGGAGATCATTTAGAGAGAATGTGGAAGGAGAAGAGACAGAGGCTTGGGAGAGAGCCAGAAGAACTCTCACATTTAGAGGGAAAAAAAGGAATGGTCTCAGAAGTAAGAGAAAAAAGGAGAGATTGAGGTGTTACTGGAGCCAAGAAAAGAGAGTTCTAAGTAAGGAGGAGTGCTGCTAGGATGCCAGGAGGTCAAGTAACAGGAAGATAGAAAGTGCTATTGGATTTGACAATATGCACTTTGTTGGTGACTTTGAATAACACAGTTCAGTGGAGTGGTGGGAACAGAAGGCAGATCACAATAGTTTGAAGAGTGAATGAGGGTTGAGAGATTGGAAACAATACTATGGAAAACAATCCTTCAGAGAATTTCTACTGTGAAGGACAGCAGAAAAACATGTGGCATTCAAGGAGAGTGATGGCATTTTTCTTCTGGGAGACACTAGAACAGGTTTGTATGTTGATGAGACTTATCTGAAGAGAAGAGCTATATGATATAAGAGATTGAAGATATAACCAAAGTGAAGAGTTCTTTAAGGTTAGAAGAAATGGCATCCAGAGGGATTGGCCTTTAAATAGAGGGGTAATTCCAGAAGGTAAGAAACAAATATTTCTCCATGTCAGAGATTAAAAAGTCTCTTTGAAGAGACACTTGTACCCAGTACACAGGTGTAGTTAGGACATCCTAGTGTGGGTACATGCTATAAATGTGAGCACACAGATGCTGGCTTGTAATGAAAAAGTCAAGAAACTTGGATACAATAGAAAGTGACAGATAAAAGAAATGATAGCATGTAACTGAATGCTATGGTAGCACACGCTGGGGTTTACTTCCCTGTACATCCAAAAACTAACAGGACTCAAGAAACTAGAGAAGATCACTTAGGGCAAGGAAAGGTGCTGGTGAGCACTTTTTTTCTTTTATATACCAGGAAATAGAAATTTATCTTTCTTAATGTATATGTATTAAATATACAGTGACATATAACTTGAAACACGTAAGCATTCTCAGCAACTCAACCAACAATAACAAAAATGTCAGCACTCTAAGTGACCAGCTCTGTAGTCTTTTCCAATTCTCCTGGTTACACAGATATAATTTTACATGGTTGTGACCATTGTGTATGTATCATTTTGAGATCTGCATGTTTTACCCATTGCTTCATATTGCCCTTTCTTTATCCCTACATAGTTCTCATGTTTGTCATTCTTAGTAGCAATAAAACATTCTATTGCATTAATGTTCCAAAGCCTTCTCTTGCTGTTGGGCATTTGGGCTGTTTGCAGTTGTTGCCTGTAATATATAGCACAGCTATAAACATCTTTATACAAATAGGTTTTTTATTTCTTTTGAATTACATCCTTGGGCTGTGTTCCAAAAAGTTGGGTTTCTGGGACAAAGTATGTATATGATGATTTTTATGGCTCATATATTTGTTGCCAAATTTCTTTTCAGAACAATTGTACTAGGTTGCAGGGCAGCAATGTGTTTAGTGAGTCCTTTCCCCCAATACCCCACAGCAATGAGTATTGTCATTTTTATTAATTTACTATATTTTAATTGATGCAAGATTCCCTTTGGTTGTTTAAATTTGAATTCTGTTAACCACGAAAAGAACCAAACATTTCCCAAGTCCTTCTGTTGTCTTCTTTCTCCCATCCCAGGTTTGGTTAATGACACAATGCAATTTTGCCCCAAGCACAGATGAAGAGGCCACTTTAGATTCATTCTTCTCCTTTGTTCACATACTCTACCAGTTACTTATTAAGTTCTGTCATCTCTGACATCTTAGTATCACTCATATTCTGTCTCCTTTTCATTTTTATTTTAAGCCTTATCATTTTTCCTCCTAAATTATTTCTCCATACCTAGTTTCAGACTCTAATAATTGGTTCATACAGATTTCTGAGTGGTTTTTTAAAAAATGTAACATATGATCAAATCACTCTTGCTTGAAATCCAAGGCCTTTCACATGCATGCCAGGGCTTTTAGGGTCAGGTGCCTGCCTCATTTTGCAGCTAGTATACAGCTACATCCCCTTGTATACCCTGCCCTTAGCTGTCAGAGTTTATGTAAATATTGGAAGATGCCAAATACTTTTTACCTTTGAATCTTTTTATTTTGTGGCATTTTCATTGGAATACCACCCTCTCCCCTAATTTCTTTCTGTCTGGTAGATCTTCTCTGACATCTTTAGGCAGGTTTTCTTATCATCTCTTCTGTCCTTGTATGGCACTTTGTGTATTCTTCTGTTACAGCACTTTGCAATTTGATGATAACATTTATTTACATGTCTTGCCTCCCCTAATAGATTGTGGGCTAGGATCAGGACTCAGCCTATGTTTTATTCATCTGTAGCTTCAGAACTTAGGAATATAATAAGTGTCTTACTCAACAACTGGTTCTAATTTCATCTCACCCAAAAATGGTATGCATAAACATGATTGTGA